CAGGGGCCACCCGGGGCCATACCCAGGAGTCCAGATGGTGTGACGGATCAAACTCACAGCCTTGAGCACGCCAGGCCTGCTCTCCACCAGGCAAAATCTCTGAGTCAGGACCGAACTCTTACTACCTCCAATGTATCTAATCATTTGCTTCGTAAGAATCCCCTCTACCTTGCAGCAGGAGGGATGTGTTAGGAAAGAATGACACGGTGAGCTTTACAAAGGCTACCTACAGTGTTGTCTCAAAGTAAGAAACCCCAACTTGAAGAGCAGCGAAACCCAAGTAATAGACAAAATGTAGCTGTTGGAAAAGATGAAGTCATGAAATTTACATGCAAGTGGTACTACATGGAAAGTATCATGTTAAGCGAAATGAGTCAGAAAGAGCGGGATAGACACAGAAAGATTGCATTCATCTGGGGAACATAAAGTAACAAAATAGGACACTAACACCCAAGAGCGGCTGAGATTAGTACCAGGAATTTTGCTCCATGGCTTGGAGGCCAGCCACACGTGCTAGGGGAAAAGGGAGCTCAGATAGAGAAGGGAGCACCAAATAAAGCGTATTGGGAGGATCCTCCCAGGATGGGAGATGCGTGCTGAAAATAGTCTATAGGCCAAACATGATTGCCACTCAATGCCTCGCTTGCAAACCAGAGCACCCAAAAGGAGAGAGAAAGAGAGAACAAAAGGGAATGCCCTGACACAGAATCAGGGTGGGATGGAGGGTGGGAAGGATACTGGGACCCGTGGAGGTGGAAAATGGGCACTGGTGGAGGGATGGGTACTTGGCCATTGTATAACTGAAACCCAAGCACAAAAATTTGTAAGTCTGTAACTGTACCTCATGGTGTTTCACTAATAAAAAAAGGGGGGGATGCTATTTTAAACAGCCACCTAAAGCAATTTTCAAAAACCCCATGGCCACCAAAAAATATATATATAGGTGGGCTTAAATAACAATGAATATTCATCAAGTAGTTCCTGAGTGCCCCCACTTTGTGGCAGACACTAAATGCAGGGAATAATAAGATCACGATCACGATCACAACCATCCTGTTATTCGTCGATTGCCTAGAGCAGGCCCCAGTAACGTCTCCTTCCTCCTAGCCCTGAGATTTTTTTAAAAGTGCCATATTCAAGGTTCTCTCAGGGTTAGGAGAATGAGACCCATCATTGTTACTGGTATTTGGCATATTGGGTACGCCACAGGGAGTTTGCCAGACTCTGCCGTGTGGGCAGGTTACATTTGGTAGCCTGCCAGTTTGTCCAAAGTAGGAATGAGATAATAAGATGTTGGTGGCCGCGAATGCAGCCACGCGCTTCTGGGAGCTGGGTTTTATAGTCTCTGGGTCTTGGCCGTTGATGGGATTACATGGCGCCAGGGGGCCAGTTGGTGGGTGTGACTCCCCCTACCACTGGAATTTGGAGGATCTGGGTGGAGGATGTTCAGCCCTGATCCGAGTAGGCTTGGAGATCTCAGACCCGGGACCCGCATGCCTTTGTTCCTCTGCCGGTACCTTCATGTGTGCAGAGTGTGGTCTCAGCATGGTGGTGGCTGGTTCTGGAGGTCTTCGGCTGCCGGAGCCCTGGTTGGGGCATGGAGGGAAATTCAACCTGCTCCCCTCCAAGGGGCCCTGGCGAGGACAACCAGGCACGGGGGGCAGGAGACTCTGCGCTGTTCTCTTCCGGGAGCTAGGTTTTACAGACTCTGAGTCTTGGCCGTTGATGAGATTACACGGCGCCCAGGGCCAGTTGGTGGGTGCAACCCCTGCCTACTGGGATTTGGAGGATCTGGGTGGAGGATGCTCAACCCCGATCTGAGCAGGCTTGGAGATCTCAGCCCCGGGACCCGCATGCCTTTGTTCCTCTGCCAGTACCTTCATGCATGTGGAGAGTGGTCTCAGCATGGTGGTCGCTGGTTCTGGAGGTCTTTGGCTGCCAGATCCCTGGTCGGGGCGGGGAGGGAAACTCAACCCGCTCCCTTCCAAGGGGCCCCAGCGAGGACAGCCAGGATGCTATTTTAAATAGCCACCTAAAGCAATTTTCAAATACCACATGGCCACCAAAAAAAAAAATATATATATATATATGTATATATATATGGGCTTAAATACCAATGAATATTCATCAAGTGGTGACTGAGTGCCCCCACTTTGTGGCAGACACTAAATGCAGGGAATAATAAGATAATAACTGAAGTAATTGCAGGAGCCAAGGCGCTTAGAGCTTAAGCTGGAAAATAAGCAATTATCCAGCCTAGAAATGCCATAACCATGGTCATTTAGGGATGAGCTGTCTGCCTGGTGGAGGGAGGAACATGCTTAACCTAGCAGAGAGCTAGGAAGAAGAAGAAGGGGCACACAACTGTACCCAGAAGGTGAGTGTGGGTGGAGGTGTGGTCCAAGCCAGGGAGAGCGAAAGGCCAGAATAACATCCTGAGGGGAAGACAGAGAAGACCCGGGGGCAGAGAATTCCACCCGTTCTTCATGCTGACAGTGTGTGAGGGGGGCAGCGACAACAGGGAGAAGCAGTCTAAGAAAACGGGGGAAATCAACACTAGGTACATGGAAAGCAGCAGCAGTAAAGAGACCCCTGGATCGTAATTTAGAGTTTAGCAGAACCTGAAATACTAATAAAAGTCCTTGAGTTAACATGAGTCTAAGAAAGGCTGATCCGTCCCGCGTATTAAAAATATCAGTAACAACGAGAGGATCGGAAACATTTTCACTCTATCTCTCTAGAGGCGATGTTTCAGGAACGGCACATCGAGTCAAACTCCAAGAATTACCATCCAACCAGCCCGGCGATCTGTGAGGAGAATGTAGCACAACCCCATTAAACTTCCAAGCGATGTAAGTCAATAAGTCACTAAAAATGTGTTAGATCCCCACTGTATGCATTCTGCTTTGTTCTAAGGATACAAGGGGTAAAAGCAACAGTCAAATCCTTGCCATTGTGCAGTTTATTATATGCCAGTAAGGGGAGACAACTGAAAACTAAACAAAGCCCTGGAGAAACTGCACAAGGAGTAAGCATTTGCCCTGCATGAAGCCAACCTCTTCGGTACAGAGCCCTGAGTAAACACAGAGTGCCGCCAGATATGACCAATTCCCTCCTGCCCCCCAAAGAAAACACACACACACACACACACACACACACACACACACACACACACACACCCTGGCTGGTAAGAAATCTTAAAAAGGAAAGAAATGCAAACGAGGAAGACACGTAGGACTCTGAGACTTGACAAAGCAAATGAGTTGTGCATTAAAGCAAACCCCAGCGCTAAACATCTGAAGGCAAAAGGATGACAGAGATGAAGCAGGTATTCCCAAAAGGTCTTAACATCTAGCTCAGACTTCAAGTGATAAGTCAACTGATGGCTTCTGGGGCAGCCGGGCATCTCTGGGCGTCAGGAGTCCAGAAGTAAAGGTCAGAACTGGGTCCAGGACAAATTCACCAAGCCCGCACCACGCCCCAAGGAGCATCAGGGAAACCCGCGGGTGTTTATCCCTCTGCCCTCTGCACTGGCAGGGAGAGGGAGAGTCCAAGCAGGGGGTGGGGAGGCAAAGGAAATGAAAACGAGAGACAGGCAACTGCAACAGGGAGGGAGGTGGCAAAGCCCTGGGGTGGAGAATACGCTGGAGAAGGAGAGCTCAGTTCACTGCTACCGTGGAAAAGAGCACATCGAAGGCAAGCAATGGGTGAGCCATTTGGGGGAGGTCCTTTTGCTTTGCTTTGTTTGGGGGCCACATCTGGTGGTGCTCAAGGATCATCCCCCCCGGCGGCGCTCGGGGACCAGACGGGGAGGCAGAGGTGGAACCCGACTCCGTCAAGTACAGAGCGAGCGCCTCACCCCTGTATGCTCTCTCCAGGGAACCGTTTTTTAAAAAGAGAAGGAAGATGAAATGAAAAGGGGCAGGATTGCCTTAAATCAGTGGAAAACGGGAGGCAGCCGGTAAAAGGCAGAACTTCTCCAAACTTAAAGGAGTCAGAAGCGTTGGTGTGTGTGCTGGGCAGGGCTTGCGGAGAGCTGAGTGCAAGCATCTGTCCCAGACAATCCTCAGCACCCCAGATGGTGCCCAAAGCCTGTAGGAGTGATCCTCGACAAGAGAGCTAGGAGGAAACTCTGAGCACAAACAGGTATGGCACCCCCACCCCCCCCAAAAAAAAAACCCTGATATCTAATTCTTTTCTTTCTTTTTTTTTTTTTTGTTTTTTTGTTTTTGCTTTTTGGGTCACATCCAGCAATGCTCAGGGGTGACTCCTGGCTCTGTACTCAGGAATTACTCTTGGCAGTGCATGGGGGGACCATGTAGGATACTGGGAATCGAACCCAGCCCTCTCCTGGGGAACACCCTCCCCACTGTAGTATCGCTCCAGTCCTGGTATCTAATTCTTGGGCTCCAAGAATACTTATTAAAGTGGGGAAATATGTAACTTTTTTTTTAACAGTCATAACTTAAAGAGACCAAATTCAATTAATGTCAATAAAACCAACTACAAATGAGTAGACCAAGAGTTACTAATCAGACAGAATTTCAGTTTAAGACATGGAATTTAGGAGTACTTCTGATGCTTATCTTCAGTTTAAAGCTCTGAAGAAGTAGCATTTTTAAAACGCGCGTTCCGGGAAGTTAATAAACCATGCTCAATATCTTGTATTTAGTTAAATCCGATTGAAAAAATAGTCAAAGACAAGTCTATTAATCATTCCACCGAGCAAGCGACTTTTCTTTAAAGACTTTAACAAAGAACATAGCTGTAAAATAAAAACCCTGCCAAAACAGAAGTGGCGACAATTATTAATCCGAGTTATCAAACGCAAATGCTAATGGAAGCATCGTGTGGGTTCAAGGATCGTTTTAAGGAACCAGTATCTGGATGCTTCAGAGCTTCTGGCTTTTTTCCTTCTCCGTGCAGATGTTCAACCACTTTTTCCTGCATCACGCAAGTCACAGAGCCCGTGATCAGGAGCAAGCCTGAAAGGCACTCACCCAGTATTGATGGAAATGATCTCTATCAGTGGATTCTTGCGGATCTTCGGCAAATCCAGCCGGGCCCCCCCGAGCCGCCTGCCCTTATCCTTCTTCTGACCCAGCAGTCTCACCGAGTGACCTGCAAACCAGCACAGAGAGACACATTAGCAGGCACACGGCATCACACTTTTCCTTTGCGGCTCTCCACCAGTGTGTTCACTTTTTTTTTTTTTTGCATGCAACTTGTCTTATATGTTAAAGAAAATAAATAAACCCAGGAGATAGGATCGCTAAACCTATGAAAAAAACTGCTACAGGGAAGAGACAAGCTGCGTCCCTGGTCCGCGGTCAAAAGGGCTAATAATATTTGCACAGTTACACTACAGTGATACCCAAAATAGAGATTATTGGCGCCCACTTGAGCAAATAGATCAGAAACGGGATGACGAGTGATACAAGTGATACAAAAGGAAATACAGCCATCTCAAAAAGTTCTTGAAAAGTTTTCATTTAAAACTTTTCAGTTAATTGGGGCTGGAGCAATAGCACAGTGGGTGGGGTGCTTGCCTTGCACGCGGCCAACCCAGGTTCGATTCCCAGTATCCCATCTGATCCCCTGAGCACCGCCAGGAGTGATTCCTGAGTGCAGAGCCAGGAGTCAGCCCTGAGAATAGCCAGGTGTGACCCAAAAAGAAAAAAAAATTTTTTTCAGTTAATTACAAAGCTATTTAAAAAAAATGCAAGAGTAGTACAAAGCATTCCAGCCAATTTAGATGTCTGATTAATTTCTACATTTATGTTGATTAACCTTTTAAACATATCTGATTTATACTCATAGAAAGTCCTCTTTAAAATTCATCCACTGTGAGTACACTGTGAGTACATAAATAAATACCCTGGTAAATTATCACGAGAATTCAGTTTTAGGCCATTTCTAGAACGCCAAGGCCCCTTCAGCCTATTTATCGTCCTGACCACTCACACATCAAACACAGCAGGTTTTGCTAATCTGCTAACCAGCTGATGGACATCTGAACTACTTCCAGTTACTACCTGTAATAAAAATGTTTCTATAAATATTCGTATGCAAGTGTCGACTCTTTTCGTTTCTCTTAGATTTCTAGAAATAGTATTGCTGGGTTATGCGGTAAATTTATACTTAACAAAGTAATCAAGCAGTAACATTGCTAAGTGGCAGTAACATTTTATATGTGAGCAGCCATTTATGAGAATTTGTGTGTCTCATGCCGACTGGTCAAGCCTTTTTGGAAAACAATATGGGCATTCCTTCAAAAACTAGAAATTGAGCTTCCATATGACTCCGCAACACCACTTCTGGGAATATATTTCGAGGGTGCAAAAAAACACAGTAGAAATGACATCACAGTAGAAATGACATCTGCACCTATATGTTCATTGCAACACTGTTCACAATAGCCAGAATCTGGAAACAACCCGAAAACAGAGGATGGTTAAAGAAACTTTGGTTACATCTACACAATGGGATACTATGCTACCGTTAGGAAAGATGAAGTCATGAAATTTGCCTGTAAGTAAATGGTCATGGAGAGTTTCATTCTCCGTGAAATGAGTCAGAAAGAAAAGGATAGACATAGAATGACTGCACTCATTTGTGGAATATAAGGTATCATAATATGAGACCAAGACCCAAGGACAGTAGACACAAGGGCCAGGAAGATCGCTCCCTAGCTGGAAGTCTGCCTCATGAGCTGGGGGAGAAGGCAGCTAGAATAGAGAAGGGATCACTTAGTCAACGATGGTTGGAGGAATCAGTCGGAATGGGAGATGTGTGCTGAAAGTTGATAAAGGACCAAACGTAATAGCCTCTCGATATCTATATTGCAAACCATAAGTAGAGAGAGAGCATGGGGGAAATTGTCTGCCATAGAGGCAGGGTGAGGGCTGGAAACAGGGTTATACTGGGGACATTGGTGGTGGAAAAGTACACTAGTGGAGGGGTGGATGTTCAATCATTGTATGACTGGAACTCAAATAGAAAGCTTTGTAACTGTATCTCACGGGTGATTCCATTTAGAAAAAAAAAAAGAGGTAAGGACTTCCATAAGGAAAAAATGGGAAAAAATGGGTATAATTAAAGTCTATATCCACCTTGGTGGAAAAAAAAAAGAAAGAAAGAATTTGTGTTTTTCCATATTGTCATCAAGACTACATGGGGGCGGCGGGGGGGGGGGGGGGGAATTATAACATCCACACTTGTGGGTGGGTGTTAATATACTACTGTAGCTTGTATAAAATGAAGATGCATTTCCAAATGGCCAACGAGCACCTTGCCTTGTGATTGGTCAACTCTATTTCCCATTTATTATAACATTGGGATGGTTCGTTTCACCTGTCCACTTAACTGGAACCCACCATTCCCAGACACTTAGCCGGATGCTACGTGGGCCTCGTCTAGGATGGTGTTTCTGGATGAGCCCAACGGTGGAATCAGAAGACTGTAGAGCAGCCCACTCCCTAGCCCTGATGGGTCCTACCCACATGATGGAGTAGCCGAATGACAATGTAAAGGCCGAGGAAGAGAGAACTCCTACCTCACTGCAGAACGGACACGTTCTAGCCTGCAGATTCAAACTGAAATAGGGGCTCATTTCAGATCCGTCTGCCCAGCTGCAAACTAGAACTTGACCAGCTTCCCATCAAGTTTCCAGATTCTCGTATCTTTCAACCTGGGCTTGCACATTAGCTTGCCTGGTCCTCAACTAGCCACCTGCATACAGTGGAAATTGGTGGGGTGGTAGCAAGATAGCACAGCAGGGAAGTTTCTTGCCTTGCACGAGGCTGACCTGGGATTCGATCTCCAGTACCCCATAGGGTTCCCCCGAGCACTGCCTGGAGTGATTCCTGAGTGCAGAGTCAGGAGTAACCCCTGAGCTTCGCGGGGTGTGATCCAAAAAGCAAATAAATAAATTAAACAAAGTGGAAATTGTTACCCTCCATAATGGTGGAAGCCACTTCTTTATCATAGCTCTCTTTATAAACATGGGTGTACACACACACACACACACACACACACACACACAGAGAGAGAGAGAGAGAGAGAGAGAGAGAGAAAGAGAGAGAGAGAGAGTTCTGTTTCACTGGAGAACCTTCATTAATACAAATGTTTACTCCAGTATGTTGCCAGCTTTTTAACGGCAATGTTTATCTCATTACTCAGTTGTAAGAATTCTTTCTACATTCTGGTTACAAGACATTTAACATAAATATGATTTGTAAATATTTTCCCTCAGTCTGTTGCTTCGAGTTTCATATTACCCCTTTTTTTAAAAAAAAGTGGTTTTAAGCTAATGTATTCCAATTTACTACTTTTTTCCTTTAATACTCATGCTGTATGTACGTGTGTATGTGTGTGTGTGTTATATCTAAGAACTCTGCCTAATCCAAGAACTCTGCGTAATACACGGATTTATAAAGATTTCTTTTTTTCTATGTCTTCGCATGTCTCATTGAGTTCAGCTCTTTTTTTGAGTCTGGAGTTTTGCTGTTTTGCTTCTTGTATAGAGCAGCTGGGCAGACGGATCTGAAATGAGCCCCTATTTCAGGTCAACTCTCTGCATACTGTCACTGTCACTGTCCTCCCGTTGTTCATCGATTTTCTCGAGCGGGCCCAGTAACGTCTCCATCATGAGACATGTTGTTACTGTGTTTGGCAGTTGTTACTGTGTGTGGTTGTTACTGTGTATATTGAATACGTCACAGGTAGCTTGCCAGGCTCTGCCCTGCGGGCGAGATATTCTCGGTGGCTTGCCGGGCTTTCTGACAGGGGCGGAGGAATCGAACCCTGCTCGGCCAGGCTGGCCACGCTCAAGGCAAACGCCCCACCCACTGTGCTATCGCTCCAGCCCACTCTCTGCATACAAAGATTCAAAAGGAGCCGGAGAGATAGATAGAGAGCGAGTAGGGTGCTTGCCTTACACACAGCCTTGCCTGGCATCCAGGTTGATCCCTGGCACCCCATAGGACCTCCCCACCACCCCCGACCCCTCACACCACCCCATGAACACAACCAGGAGTGATGCCTGAATGCAGAGACAGGAATAAGCCCTAAGCATACTTGGGTGTGACCGGAAAAAAAAAAGAACCACAAAAACCCCTCCCTCTGACAGCACTCCAAGCCAACAAGCCCATATCTGTCCCTCTACCTGACAGTTCTGTCTTGCGCTGTTTCGTGAAGCTGCTGGTGTTCTGCCTATTCCTTGAGGGTGGAAAAATCCAACCAACAGAGCTGAGAGGGAACATATGGGACTAGCCCGAGACACACCAACCACAGACTTTTGTTTTTAGCCAAAGTTCGGTTGTTTTCATGAACAAAAAGTCTTCTCGGTTTGTTGGATTTTTTTTTTTAGGCAACTTCCAGAATGCCGGGAAGGTGTATCTTTACTGTCTGGCTTTATTGCACACAGGCAGGTGTGCGGACCCCTTCTGCATTATCAAGACAGAAACTCATCAAAGGCAACTTTTTAAAAAGCAATTACTTGAAATAACTTCAAACCTATAAGAGATGTGGCATCCGCCATTATTTGAGAAAGATAAATTACTTAAAACATCTCCTTGTGCAGGCAGCTCCTCGTGATCAGAAGCAATAAAACCACCAGCCATTGCCTTTTTCCACTAATCACTCTAATAAGAAGAAACATTAAATACTTCTTTCAGTCTAAAGAGTCTCGCTTTGGTTAGAAACTGAGCTAAAACCAAGCAGGCATTTGGCACATGAGGTTTCACAAATTTTTCAGGATAAGGTGAATTCTTTAATCAAGAGTCCAGTTCATGATGAGGCGCACAACGTTGGCAGGAGAACATAATAGTTCTCTAAAAGATGCCAGAAGTTCAGTAATAACTATGCAAAGACATGCTATTTTCATACCAGCATCAAGACAAATTTCATTACAACCTGCTGAGATTTCAGTAATATGCAGCCTGCACTAATAACATTTGATAAATTATTCATCTTCACTATCTACATGCAAATAAAGGAACGTATTTCTGTCTGATAATATAATGAGTTATTTTCCAATCCAACGATTCATTAAAGAGTAGCAAACCTAACAATAGTGATTTGGAAAAAAAAAAAGACTGAAAAATACAATACACCAAAGA